ACTCCCTGTCATGCAGGAACTCAAAATCAAAGCATCCCCGACAGATGGCAATGCTTTTTAAGAGATGGTTTTATTCACTCTGAACAGTAGGAATCATACATATCATGATTTGTATGTTAAGTGAATCCACAGAATTAGGAAAGGGTGATTCCTGTATATAGGAATCCCTGTGCATAGGAGGCAGCGTAGTATAGTGGTCTGAGCACTGGAGTATTGCTATCACTCTGGAGACCAGGGTTCGAATCCCTGCTCGACCATAGAAACCCACTGAGTAACCCTGGCCAAGTCACACACTCTCAGCCCCAGAAAACCTCATCATAAGTTCACCTTAGGGTTGCCACGTTGTATATAACTTGATGGTATAGAACAACAATTCCTGTGCATATTGTAGACCCACACAACATTTGTGTGGATGCATTTAGTATGTTTAGTGCTGAGCTACACAGCCAATCTTGGCCCTAAAACTGTAACTACATGAATGATTTCTCTCCAGACAATGCACTTTATTTCTTTACAAAATTTGTGGTTTCTTTTTTCCTTCTTCTTTCCTTTTTGCCTACTTCTCAGATGCCACACACTAAAATCAATGTGCGTGAAGAAGTTTCCACCTCTGTCTTCAGTGTAGGGTGTCTTCATATTTTTTTCTTGTACAAAACTCTTCTAGAACATGGCCACACAGCCCGAAAAACCCACAAAAACTATAAAGCTTTTCTTTTTTAAAAAACAAAACAAAACTTCACAATAGTCTGCTATAGTACAATCTCATACACTGTGTTATGAATGAAGCATTTTATGCAGCTAAAACAATAAAATAAATGTTGCATATACCACAATTTCTCCAAAAATTTCCATGGGGGGAAAAGTCACACCCACACTCACCAACGGCTTCAAAATTTCTGGTAATTTGACATTTTGCACTTCTATTTCCACTCATGTCACTGCTCTCTTCGACATCCATTCCCAAATAGCAAACTCAGGGTGCATCTACACTGTAGAAATCATGCAGTTTGATACCACTTTAACTGCCACTGATCCATCCTATAGAATCGTGGAATTTGTAATTTGGTGAGGCACAAGCACTCTTTGGCAAAGGAGGATAAAGACATTATAAAATGGCAAATCCCGGGATTCCATAGGATGGAGCTACAACACTTAAAGAGGTGTCAAACTGCATTATTTTTACAGTGTAGATGCAACTGGTGTCTATCTCAGAATATATGTTCTTCAATTAGGGGAAGGATTCAAACTGAATATTCTGTTCAAGTTGCTTTGGTAAATACATGTCTGCCAAAGATCTCTTGATCTAGCCCCCAAAACAAATATTTTCTTAGACCAAATACTTTCTTCCTCAGTGACACTAGCTCCTAACAAAGCATTAGAAAATATTAAAATTCCCACCCT